CTGTCAAATTTCATCATAGAAGATGAAATTTCATCAAAGAAGGCCAAATTTCATCATAGTAGAATGCATAAAGGGTTTCTTTTTGAGGTTTCTTTGGTAGTTTCTGGTTGGTTGGTTCAGTTTTTTGGTAGGCTGTTTTATTCATTTTGTTTTTATTATTTTCTTTGTTGCTTTAAGGGTTTTTTAATTTTTTTTTTTAACTAAAAATCTTGCTTTTGTTTAGACCAAAATCTTGCTTATGGCATTTTCAAGCTTACTTATACTTATACAGTCTTCTTTTTTCAGTTGTTACCACTTAAATCCTCCTTCTCTAGGTCACTTTGTTCAGCAACTTCTACCAAGTGCCAAGAGACTCCACAAACCAGGATATACAAAGTTCAGAAGAACACAGCAATTATTTACTTACCAACACACACAAGAGATACCAAGGTGTAACAAGCAGTATCCAGAAGTTAATTTGCTCTCCATTCTTATGGCAGTCATCACTCAGTGGAAAACAACTGATCTCCAGAGAATGGGATCATCCTCAATCTTTGCAAGTTATCAAGTTCTAATTCCCTGCTTTTTCTCTTAGTATTTTTTAACTTTTCGTATCAGTGTTCTTCCTCTTCCATTCTTTCAGGATTAAAATAATTCACATTTTAATAATTTTCAGAATAGAGCTAAGACAACAATACATTGCTTTGCAGCACCAAAATCTTCAACCAAAACTATCAGAGAGTTGGGGTATTTGTTGTTCAGGTGTCTCAAGCCCTTGTAGAAATGCTTCTTCTGCCTAGAATGAAGTGGGAATTTGTTATAACATTCATACAAAAAACTGTAATAGCAGAGATGGGCAAACATAAATGAAAGTGTTTACAAGCAATATAAACCCTGTAAAAAAATGAAAAATGGATGAGTATTTTTTTAGAATAGTAAATAAACCATGTGACCAATTTTCCATGCATAATTTTTCAGCTCAAGTGTATTCTGAAGTATTTATTCATAATGCTCATATAATGATGATGCTTCCAATTTTCACCTTTGAGAGGTGAAGGTGATCTGTAGCCGTTGTATTTAAAGGCTATCAAAGATAGTAGTCTGTCATTATGGTCTAATAAATCACATTGCTTTCTGGCTTAGCCACATCAAAACTGCTCAGCACTAAGCCTTAAGAGCTAGGTCCTATGAGTACTTGGACAATTTGTGAGTGCAAACAAATTTAAAACCTCAGTGTTGGCTGATTATTATTGTGCTTACAGCTGACTAACAAGCTCTTTAATGCACTTCATTCAAAGTCCATTTCCACTTTCTTGTCTTCTATACAAGACAGAAGACATTTGTAGTGTATTCCGTAATTTGTATTTATTAGCCTATACAAGTAAGACTTCAAGCGGTACTAGCAAATAAAGATTACTCACAGGTATGTGTTGTCAGTTGCTTTTAATTTTATTCAAAATAGTACAAGAATCTGATCTCTCAGTCATATTCAACTTCCTTAGGCCTTGTTTAGATAACTCATAGAGAAAATCTGTTACTTCTTTTAGACTGGATGCAAGTAGAGATCCTTTTCTTTTGTGTTTTTATCTCATATACTACTGTTTCAGAAAATTATTTCCCAGAGGAGGGAGGAAGGACTTCTTGAAAGAATAAAAACACTGAAGTTTGATTCTGATTCTGTTACAGACAAAGAAAACTCTAATAAACATTAAGGGATGCAAAAATTTCATGCTAAGTAATGAGCAACATCAAGAACGGATTTTTGTAGCTCTCTTTTCTTGCTGAATTTTTGATGTGTATTACTTACATGTCAAAGTAAGTATTTAACTTACTGTCTTTGGCTTCTGCATGATATTGTAAGTGAAGGTAAGAAAATACTTGACACGTGGTGTTTTTAAAAATTTAAGATTACTTGATCATCAAGAGATACCTGGAAGCTATTAAATTGCTTCTTGAGTTTTAAAAAACAATTATTTTTTAATCACAGTATTAATGGAATTTGAAATGCACTAATACATACCAAAAGAATTGAATATAGGAAACAAGTTATGATAGAAAAATTAAACTAATCACTTTAAAGGTGCAGCAGTAAAGTTAAAGCTCTAAATTATTAGTTTTTAATCACCGACATCTGACAGCGCTAATAATCTGAAAAAAATATTCTAGTACAATGAAATTGTAGTTTCATTATAAAGATGTGTGAACTTTGAAAACCTCCAAAACAGTATCATCCACTTTCACAGAATCCTAAAATGGTTTGGGTTGGAAGGCACCTTTAAAGGTCACCTCGTCCAACTCCCCTGCCATGGGCAGGGACGTATTGACTGAGATAGAGACATCTTCAGTGAGATCCTCAGAGCCCTATCCAAACTGGCCTTGAATGTTTTGGGGACCCACAGCTTGTCTGGATAACCCATTCCAGTGTTTCAGCACTCTCATCATAAAACATTCCAACTTTACATTTAGTCTGAATCAACATTCTTTCAGTTTAAAACCCTTAGCCCTTGTCTTATTGCTACAGGCCCTACTAAATAGCCTCAGTTAATCTTTCTTTTAGGTGCTGAAAGGCTGCAATGAGGTCACCCTGGAACCTTGTCTTCTCCAGGTTGAACTACTCAAAGTGTCTTCACAGGAGAGATGCTCCAGCCCTCTAAACATCTTAGCATCTCTCCTCTGGACCCACTCCCAACAGGTCCTTGCCTTTCAATATAGTATGGGAAGTTGCATTATCATCCAGATCCCCTCAAGACCTTTTGTCTTGCAATTAGGTTTGCTTTTTAGCTGGCTTAGAAAACTGATCCCATTAAAATATGACCACTTATTTTTAAAAGAAATACAGTAGCATAGTTAGAAGCAACATAGTCGAGAAGCAACAACCTTTTCAGTGCATTTTTACATCCACTTAACCACTCATTAAACACAGACTGAAAACTAAAAAAAAAAGACCATTAAAATGCAGTCAAGGTAGAGCTCCTGTATGACAGTAAATCCCTTATGTGACAACATATCACATGGAGCAGACAATGAAGTACTTCAGAATGTGACTTGACAGAGGAGTGTGGATCCCTCCATCTGTCATTTGCACATGGTAAACACAGGGCACAGCCATCCTAGCATCACAGGTAAAGCAAGGAAAATAACAGATTCTCCCCCAATAAAAGTGTTTTCTCTGCCTCAAGAGATAATTTAAATTAGCATTTGACTTAACACAATGCAATGGAATAAGAGCATTAACATGCTCAATTGCTTTGATTCAGCAGCCTTCATGTAACTGTCTAGGCAGCACTAACTCAACAATTTTCTGTCTGCTGCCAAACTAGCATGAAGCAGGTAAAATTACAGTAATTCTGAACAACTAACAGTTATAAGTATATACTCACATATACAATTATTAATGATATTTTCATATTTACCAAGCATATGTACTATAAATTTTTATATTAGATATACATTCACACTTTCTTTATATATATACTACAGCTGTTGCCTGGAAATAAAACATCAGATGATAATTGAGACACTATAAAAAAAAATTCTTCCTTGATGAAAAGATTTGCCTCCCAAGATTACTTCTTAAGATTAGAATGTAAACAAGACATAAAACATAGCTTCAAAGATTTTCTAGTCTCCTTTTATATTACATTATAAGCTAGCTCAGAGTCAGTCATGATTATTGTTTACTCCTGTCCTCTATTCTGAGACTGAAGAACATCACAGCCTAACTGGATTAGCTATTGACCACCTGTAAGAAGGCAGTCTCTTGTGTATGGTTTTGGCTTGAAAGGAAAAAAGGATTAAAAAATAACACCACAAAAAAATCACTAAGTAAAAGCATTTTATGCCAGTTTCTATTACATCCTTGCATCACATAGAAACAAAGATGGGATTTATAAGTTTCTTAACTGGTTTAGACTCATGAGCCTGGGGCAGGAGAAGCCTGGTGTCTGACCCCCAGTTCTCTCTGAAATGCAAACTGAACTCCTCTCAGGATCCAAAGTTCAATGTTTTCCAGACATCCATAGTAGACAAATTGATTTTGCCTGAAATTCCCTTTTTAAATGAAAACGCCGACCCAGTTACAAAGCACAGGAGACACTAACCTAACTTGTGCCTAACTAGAATCACCTCATCTCTGGAACAACAATCCCTCTATGGTTTATCATAATGAAGTCATCATACAGTGTGTTACATATTCCACCGAAATTACTTCAAACTAAATAAAAAATACTTTGCTGAGAAATTAGTATATTTATAAATGCTATATATATTTTTTATTAGTTTTCCCCCGCTGCTTCTCCAGTCCAAGAAATCACTGATTTTCTTGAGATTCATGGTGGCAATTCAATAACCTGAATGTTCTACTCTGTCTCATCTATACATGCCTCAATTTTGGAGGGTATGATAATCCTCTTCCTGCTAAAGTCAGTAAGTCTGTCTTCTTCCACTACACTGGAATTGCAAAGTGAAACAGCAAACAGGATTCTCTGCTCCCAAAGGACCGTAATGACCTACATAACTTACCCAAGGCTGTACTTTTCTCTAGGGAACAATTATTGTTTCCATCTCAAACTCCATCGTCACTTCATCATCTTATGCTGGAGGGATGGAAATTGTTAATGTCCAAGTAATTTCAGGATCACAATGGTACTGAGAGCAAAAATGAGGTACACCATGAAGAGAGTATAATGTGTATATATGGGATCCATTGCAAGAGGAAAACCAAACAGGCAGTCAACAAAAGCAGAGCATCAATGCACGTGGTACTGTACCTCTTTTGGATATAAAAGTGGCAGAGATGAGTGTTGTAGAGTGCCAAAAAAAGTAGAAAAAAATATACCTCTCTGTCCTCTTCACTGCAGAAAGCATTGACCAAGACCAAAGTTCAAGTGCATCATTATGTGGCAAAGCCAAGCTGCAGAGACTGCAGAGTATCATGAAAAAATGTAAAACTCTGAATTAAACACATCACAGTGAGCAGTATAACTAAGAAAGTAAACAGAGACCATGATTTCTGTGAAAAGTGCTCACAAAAATGTCATTTAATAAATGTTTGTTTGTATATAAAGGACCATACTGTTACACAGGACAGCCTGGGAAAGGTGCAATTGAGATACAGTAGACAGGTTTAAGAACTCTTTACAGTCTAAGTTAATTTTCAATTGCAAACTGAAAGCCTCCCTGAGGTTAAACATTCACATAAAGCAATCAACTGGAATGTCAAAAAATATACTCTTTTCCTGGGTCTACGTTGAAGAAAATACTTTGTTTTTTTTACTGGTTTCATACGCATGCAATTCTCACAAAACATGAGACCAACTAATGTACATATTTAAAATTGAGTAAATAGTATTAAATGGATATAGGTAGCATTCTTCTTGTCTTTAAAGAAAATATTAGCTGTACCACTTCCTCCAAAAGACAGACCTTCATAACAACTAATTCTGGTATCAAGCACCAATTTCATTCTGATGATTAAGAAGTTTCTACATTTTTGTTTCCTACTTCTCACAAAAGGAAACTCAAGAGAATGAAATCTTCCTGCTTAAATGCAAACAATAGTCTTTGAAACTTGATATAAGCAAATTTAAGACACTTCCTACCTCTAATTGATCCCATAGTAGATTCAGTATTTTGCAGAGCAAGTTGTTTTCTGCCCATGTACTTGCAAGTACCCAGGTGGGCATAGAAGAGTCAGAGAGGAGTCTGTGTCCAAGTTCAAAGCTGGTATGCCACTCCAGTCCCTCTGTATAACTGGCTTTCTGCTAATAAACAGCAAGCATTGTGCATAGGCAAGGCCAGACTGGATGGTGTTCTCATCTATTGGAAGGTGTCCCCACCCACTGCAGAAGGCTTGGACCCACATGGTCTTTTACGACTCCTTCCAATCCAAACCATTCTGTGATTCCTAATTTCCATCCATTTCAACCCTCAGCAGTCAAACAGCAAATCCTAATAAAGCATTTTTGCAGAACATTGCCTAAAAAATACAGAACATCAGATTCACAGGAAAATGAACATTTTTCTTCCATAGTCCCAACAGATTTAATTTATGGCAAGTAAAGGCTACCGCACAGTGATGGAGATAAAGAAAGGTAATTATTCATGCTTTTCAGATTATGCATTTGCCTTGACAGGTAAACTGTTCTGTAAAAGCCTTGTCATCATTGGCACTGTAACAAATTTATTACCAACTGTTTTGTACAGATTCATCAATCCTTTAAATCAGATTATGTGCATCACTGAAGTCACTAGGCAAGAATAACTGACTATACCTTGGAATTGCAAAGAAATAGAAAATGGAACCTGGAAACATCTAAATATAACCTACAAAGAAACTGCTTACTTCTTATTTTCATCTGCGTGTCATTAATATGCATCCTGGCATGACTGCCTTGCATTACTAAAAAGGTCTTATCTAAGACAAAAATCCCTACTTTAGAGAGCATTTGTTCAAAATAATTCTCAGGGTTTTTTTTTGTGGTTGCATTTAAAAAAAAAATTTCCAGGTAGTTATTCCTTGATAATGTTCTCAAAATAAATTGTACAACACAAAATGCTTTACTTTACCTCCTAAGGGAAAAAAGACAGCAACTAAGACTCTCATTAGCATTGGTTTCCAAACAATTACTACAGGAACAATTCCATTCCTCTTAGATCCAGTGAAATGGAAGCATTCATTATTTTCTGCAGCAAGTCCAACTTTTAGAACATGGCTATTTTGTTTATAAAAATCTGAGGTACAATGAAAGAATACAATAGCATAAATGAAAAGCTAGCTTCCCAAAAACCAGCTTCAGGGGAGACTGTTCATGTCTCTTAGCATCTAGACAAAAAAAAATCTCTGGTGAGAAAACCAAACTCCAGAACAATGACAGTAATGAAAATAGTTTGGGCTTAGATTTCACAGTCCACCTGGTCCACCCTCAACTGACTTGGACATTACATCCCACAGGCCAAAGTCAAATTCTGAATCCCTCAAAGACTGGAGATTCCACCATATCTCCAAGCAATCTATGGCAGCATGCTCTTCCCTGCTTCCCTTGTCATAGTTTTTCCTTAGGAAACCTGTTTGTCCTTTTGCTGTTCACCTCCTAGATGAATTTATCCCCTTCCTGCTGCTCTTGTCTAAATTAAAGACCAAAGTACCGCTTTTTGTTCATAAATTTAAGAGGAAATAGGATTGTCAAATGTGCAGTTACCATTTCCATTTCCCATGTTATCACATCACAGTAATTTATACAAACCAATAGTTTACTGCATTAATACTTTTATTTGTAAACCTCAGCCCTTTGAAAAATCACAGCAAATCTTCCCCTAAGCCTCTCATTTTCTCAAGCCTCTCCCCTCCATCCCATGCCTTAAGCTTTCTCTGGAGAGCAGTCCACGAAGAAATTCCCCTAAAAAGGGGAATAACTAAAAATATTACGTACGTGACAAAGCTCTATTGCAGCTTTCCAGGCCCAATGTGAGGACAATAGGAGACAGAAATCGAGAGATTTTCAAGTACTAGAAAATATTCTTATTTCCTCTACTTTCTCTACTACAAAATACATACATTTGACCAATCATAGGCCAAAGTCTAGCAATCAGGCAAGAGCACATAAAACAGTATTACAGTTAACAAACAAGAATTTGTAAAACACCTTAGATTGCAACACATTTCTGTCAAACTATATTCTGTAACCCACCTTTATACTGGGCTTCGCTACATGCAAAAATATTATTATGGGGAAGGAGAACACATCATTTAAGAGAAATCTTAACAGCCTTATCAAAGAATTATTAGTCCAGACCCAATTATTGCAGAAAATAGTGAACATTACTATACATAAAAAGACCACCAGTTGCAATAGCAGTAATAATTAAGACCGTTAATTACTTCCTAGTACCTCACTCCTGTTCCTGGTGTTAATTCTTCAACTGCCCCTTTGGATGCCAAGGCTGATGATGTCTGTGCCAGGGATATAGAGCAAGCCATTGGCATCCCAAGTCATATCTGGGTTGCTGCTTAGATAGCCAGAAATACAGCTTCTCCTACCTTTCCCCTGAAACATAAACATTTACAACAAACTAGAACTGGACATTCCTTTTAATACAAAAATATAATCTCCAGGAACTGAATTAAACATGAACATCTGGAATACTGCTCTTCTGCAATTATTTGCTGCCACTGTAGAGTACCTGCTTGCCATAAACCGACATCTATATAACCTCCTCAGTTGTACAAAATTATGAAACAGTAGTTCTAGATATATCAAAGAATATCATTACTTAAATATATTATAGCAAACTTTCAAGTCTGAAATTAAATTCTAGTTCTAAGTCCCACCATCTTGGACAAGGCAGTCCCTTCCTCTCTGCATTAAAATTTTGCTTCATTCTTCAAGCTATTAGGAATTAAAGTCTAAGCAACACCAGCACAGCTTACTTAAGACTTGAAATGTTTATTAAAGTAGTAAGGTCAAAATAAGTTTGAGTATAGAAATACATACCGCACACTTTTATCAGTTCAAGGTGACTGTATTGGTAAAGATTCAAACATCATCACTAGTAATGACTTTTCAGTTGAAAAATAATCCTTGTTGGTCCCACAAGTACTTTTCCCTCCTGTTTATAAAATATTGATGCAGTATGAGGTCCTCCCTCCTTGTCAGGCAGAGTCACTTCCACAAAGACTAGGGAAGTGCAATTGTGGGACTGGCTCTTTGGACAGGGAGAAGTTCTTCCAAGTGATCCTTGGTGGTAACTTCACCCCGCTCCCGGAAAAAGCTGGGAGAACTGATGAACCTCATAATTTCAGGGGACAGTTTAGACTGTAATCAAACAGCAATCTAGTGCCATCTGCACTTAAGCATCTAAACAAGGGAGTTCTGAAATGGCTTTCTCTCCAACAGACCTAATGACTTCTTCCTAGAAAGACTGACCACAAATTCTAGTAGATATTTATGAGCATCTCTGCCCTAGGAACTAGAGAAGCTACATCCAAGTTTGAGAAATTATGCTGGTTTTAGATCCTAAATTAAATGCAAAACATCTTATGAACAGGTTGATCTTCTACAACCATTGCAGAACACCAAATGTGACACAGCAAGCCAGCCACTGGTCTAAATTCAGATCTAGCTACTCCAGGTATTTTAAAAAAAGAACCATCCACATGTAGTCTTTTAGTCAATATGAAATTAGTGAAGTATTGAAAGCTAGATAGTGGTTTATACCTTATATATATAGTGAAAAACCTAGCTCAAAATTTAGATGTCGATTATCAGTTCCCATGTAGGTTTCAAAATTTGCAGAAATTGAGAAAAATGTTTTAGTATAGCAATACAACATCATTCTAAAAATACTCCATTATTGTCTATGTGAAATACCCTCATTGCTACTTAAAAGTAGTTATATAAACTCTTATATTTATTACTAAATACATTTCCACCACTATATACCAATCTTCAAAAAGCTTTATTTATCATCTTAAAGTAGAAGACATTATAAAAATAAACTATTATTCAGTATTCAGTTACTTTTATCATATAGATTTCTTTTTGGAAATAGAAAACATACACAGAAAGAAATAATTTCCTACAGATGTCCCATGAAGCGCAAAACTCTGCATTTGTTCCACCACTGCAGTAAAAGCAAGCATCTCCAAAATAACGGAATGCAGTCCTGGCAGGCTGTTCTTTCTCCCTGTAACCTGCAGTGTTCTATATGGACCCATATGGAATCTCATTAAGGCTTGAACTGAGGAGGATGGCTGTCTGGAGGAGGTGGTGGTGGTGGCGGTGGCAGAAATGAGTAGGATAAATTGTACATGTTTGGGCCTGTCCACATCACATTCGTATTTGAAGGCGGAGGTTGGAACTGATGCCAATTACTGACATAGCCAAACTCTGGAGGAGGAAAGGCATACTGTTGTATCATTGGATTTTCTCTTCTGTGAGGTGGTGGAAACACTGGTGGTTCCTGGTGTGTTCTCCAGTCTGAAAAGTACAGCTGTGGTGGTCTTACTTGCGGTCTGCAAAACCCTCGAGGGCCTGATGGAGGAGGATATAGATCCCTGGAGAAGCCTCTGCCACGGTATCCCCTTGAGTAATTTGAAGCAGGCTGTTGCACTGAGTGATGAAGTTCTTTATTCTCACCTAAAGAATAACAAATATAAGAACCCCCCCACACACACACGGCTGTAATATTGTTTTGGAAAAGTCAAGTTTAGTCTTCACAAATCTTTCAAGCTGAAGTCAATGAAATTTGTATCTTATCAACAAATAATACTGGCAACTAATACATGAAGAATAAAATAATGCCAGCAAATCTACTGTTTAGTAACTAATCTTGATTGATTGGAGTAATATAAAAAGGATGATCCTGAGAGTCACAAATTCAGTCTTTAAAGAAGAAATTTAATCTTCTTTCCCTCCAGACATTACATTTGTATAAATGAATCTCAGGAACACAAATGCCAAGTATTTTGGAAGCTTTTAAAACAACACATTTTGAAACTGAAGATAAATCAACACTGCATTACACTGAAGGGCAATCCAGCTTTCAGTCCCAATTTGGTATTACAGCATAGACACAGGACACAAGAAATTATTCAAGCTCACATTAATAAAACTAACTTACTCTATCTGAAGAAGGACTGTCTGTACCTCTAGCCAATCAGCTTTCAGCATTCACCTTTCTAAGACAAATTCTTCCCTCTACAGCTCTAGGCATATATTTAATGTTCACAACAAATATACTTCCCCTTTATATAAATATCATAGAAACTTTAATAGGATTAGGACTACAAAATGAAAAGCACTGAAATACTAAAAATGCTCTGAAGAGTTGTTAAGATATTTAAAAAGCTGCAGATCTTAAATCCTCAGAAGGATTTTATGGCTGGGAGCAATAAGGTATTCAGGAATATAACACTGAAATTTAAAAACCTGTGTGAACCTCATCCTTGGCACTAGACTACAGAGCTTTTCAAAGGTTAAAATGTTTTTAAGTCTGTAAAGGTAGTTGCATGTCAGAATTTCTACTCATTTTCATGGGGGATTAGGAGTTAAGATTCCTTTGGTACAAGCAAGCCTCTTGGAAGCACTGAAGTAATGTACTTGAAGTATTTTTGTTCTTTCATCAAATACTGTAACAAGAGACAATTTTAGTACACTCACATAAGTCTTCACCTGAGACTAACTTTGTGCTTCAATTTGTGACATATAGTTGCTGCTGAATTCCACAGCCAAAACAAATTGCACACAATTTCAATCTGTGCCATATTATTTACAAAAAACCCACAGGAAATCAAAACCTATCTCCCTTAACAGAGTGCAGCAGTTCCTCCTGTTGTGTTCTCAGTTATGGAACAGCCATAGTAACAGTAACATCCAGTAACAGCTTCAGCAAGCCCTAGGCAAAGGCAGGTCTGCAGTAAACTGGCAGAACAAGGATGTGGTGGAAAACACACATATGCTGGATTAACATTAAAAATAATTGTCAGTAATGAAGAGAAAGTGCAGCAAAATTCAGATCCATCTTTTAAGGGAAAAAAAAACCTGTCAAAACCATAGGGCAAAAGCCAGTCCAAGAAAGACTGTGGCTTTTTTGATTGATACAAGAGAGGATTGTACTGCACAAAAAGTATTAAAAGACAGCAACTGATCTCCCAGATCAAGAGAAAAGGGTTTCAGCAGGGCAAATGCATATTAGCTTTACAAAGGAAGAGCAGCAAACTCACAGGAGTCTGAGAAATTCAATGGGGGAAGCACCACACTGCAGATAGCTGAAGCAATCTGATAAGTAAGCAGTAGAAAAAGGGTAAAGGATGAGAGTCATATTTAAAGGGAGAGGTATAAAAAGCATGTACCCAAAGCAGACCAGTGAGAACAGAAAAACAGGAATGCAATATTAATTATTCAACCAAAATGTCAATCAAAAATCAAAGTTTTGTCAGTAGAGAGGCATGACAGAAGAGAAAATTTGGTTATGGTAAACAGAGCACAGCTGCAAGCATGCACCTGGAACATACAGGAGAAAGGAGAGTAAAGAAGGCTATTCATATTACACAGCTTTGTTCATCTAATGGCTGCATTAGGTAAACAGAAAAGTTCTCAACAAAATTAAGAGTAATTTAGAAGAGTATCTGTATGTCATAGGTGAGGAAGAGCTTCCTTTTAGACAGAGGAGTAAGTTCTCCACCTAAGACCTGTATCTCCTATTTTGACTGCAAAGAAGTGGATTTCCAAAAATTGCACATGGCCTTCTTCTGTCTTCTCTGAGCACTCAAAGGCTTTAGCTGAACTCCATCCAAGTGGTGGCATCTGTTCAGAATCCTCACCAACACTGTTCTAAGAACCTCTGACTTTGCCCTGACAATTGCTCTGCTGCTATACAACTTCCCTTCCACAGGGCTTCCATTCATCAGAATAAAACTTAATTTTTCTTCTAAAATAATACACGGAATGTAGCCATAAACTCAAACTTAAGTTTAAAAAGTACAGAATTACTATTAGCTGCAGAAAAACTCAATCACTAAGATAGTTATAAATGAGCATTCCAAACTTAGATTAACAGACAGAAACATTCACACAGCATTCACTCACTTGATGGAAGTGTTTCTAATCTGACTTTCTTCCTTCCTTGACTTTGAGGCTTCTTTTTCTTCTGTTTTGCCTCTCTTTCTTGTTCATCATCACTGAAATCCAAAACCTGGTTAAAAAAAAAAAAAATTCAGTTGGCTTCTCAGCTCAAGAAATAAGTTAACATTCCAAAAATTTATCATAACACAATTGATGCATGACTCAGTTATCCTTTCTAATTTTCCTGAAAAGAGCAACATTCCAGTGCTGAACACAAATATTTGATTGCCTAGATGTTACTAAGAAAAGAAAAGGAGCTGGCTGAAAAAGAGCTGCCAAGAAAAAGCTTTCAAAGAGTAACTGCAGATAAAGGGAATTAAAAAGTGATTTTTTTAAATAAATAAAAATTAACTTGGCAACTAATACATAATTCATAATTACAACTAAATTAAAAATATCTCTACTCTAAAATTGTCACTAGACTGCAATTTTCTGCAGTATACGTAATAACACTTCCTTTGAATTTGCAATAGCAATGTTATTCCAAATAAATTTTCAGTTTTGAGAAATGCTGTCATTTACAACAAATTCGATATCCTTGCAACATTTTCTTCTCATTACACAAGATTTTGCTACCTTTTGAATCCTAACTTACATGAGTGTGGATAAGTTATCAGGGTCAGGGAAGAAATCTGTCAGCATTAATTAGTTCCCTGAAAAATATCTGACTCTTATTACTTAAAAGGGGTGAGGATTTGTTCCTACCCAACGTTCCTAATTCTGAAAGTAGGGGCTATGCTGCTTACTTCTATTTATCACATACACAGAGCATGGATCTCAAAAACACTGCACCAAAGCAGTGCTTTAAAAGCCTCAATAAAGTTAATTCTGAATACAACTATTTCTTCTACTACATAACTGGATGACATATTCAAAGAAGGCAGTAAGAACTACAGCAAGATGATGTATGCCACGAAGTGAAATCTCTCACTAACTCCTGCTTTTTCTAAGAACTCCAGTTCACCATACTCCAGTAGAGCAGAAATAATGACCAGCAGTAGGTACCTTTTACTGCTACTTAATTTCCATGTAACATCCCATAGAATGTTACCCCACAGAAAAACTGCAGTTACCTGCTGCTGCTAGCCTTGCAGCATACAGATTACACTTTGTCATCCTCTGACCCCAAAGACAAAGCTAGGAGAGACTGTGTTAGTGACTCTACAGATAAGCTGGGCTAGTTAAGAGCCTGCCAAAAAGGAATGGTTACCATAGAACTGAAAGTAGCAAGTAAGAAAAGTCTACCGTGAATTAATTTAATATTCACAAATACAAAAATGAAGCCTCACACTATCACAAAAAATAGTGATTCCAACATTTGCACACAGTTTACTATAGAGGATGGCCAGAAATCAGCTGCAATCTGAGGACTCTAAAAGGGTCTGCCCCTAAGACACAATTTCAAGCATCAGTAGCATAAAATTTGATCTGCAAACAGCTATTTTTTTAGCTATCAACAGCTATTACCTTCACAGCAAAAGCTACTATCAGCTCATGAACTGTCACAGCTTGGGATAGCATGGTATAAACTCTACCTGCTAGAACTAACCAAAGATTACTCTAATTGAGGATTACAAGATGTTAGATGTGGTTTTTTTTCCAAAACAGAGCACACAGACAGATCACACAGAAGAGTGCCCACCCTTGTCATCACTGACTTTTTTCAAGCTTCCTTTGTTCCTTCCTATAGTGAGGTACAGCAAATTTAAATTAAGAAAAGTCTTTAAGAAAAAAAACAAACTTTGGAAAAGGCAATGAATCTCTGCAGTTTTGACTGACTGTACTTGGCCAATAAAATTTCATGGGTTCCTGCAAACTCAAATTACATATTTACAAGCTCATCTGCTGAACAGCTTTTAAAACATGACTGGAAAACAGAAGAGCTCAAAATTAGCCCATTTGGGATCATGACCACGAGAAAACTGCTAAATTAAAGCAAGTTAAGACTAACCAGAAGTCCCTAAGTACAGTCTTTCAAAGCTCTATGGATAACATATCTACAGGCCAATTCTTATACAACACTTCTAATTCTCAGATTATGATTCTCTGTGAGATTATGTATTTACAAGAAAAAAAGGCAATTTACAGCCAGAACTGACATACAAGCATTATTTGAGAAAAATCAGCACCACATAGCTCTGTTTCATTTACAGGAAGCACAAACTTCAATACAAAAAGTATTTCAAAATGCATCATCCTCACTCACTACCATGGAAAAAGTTGACAGACTGATACATCATTACAGGAACTATCTTTGAGCACAGAAAAGATCATGTCACAGTATCTCTCCTTCAAGACAGAACAATCATCCTGGGATAAGGACTGTGAATGAAAAATTTAATACTGTCCCTAACAGCATCCTTCTGGACAAGTTGTCTAACGGTGGATGAGCAGGTTCATGGTGCAATGAATGAAGAACGGCCTGAAGGGCAGAGTTCCTCAGGGCTCAGCTCCAGGGCCAGTTATGTTCAATCTATTTATCAGTGATCTGGATGCAGCATTTAGAAGCAAGCACCATGAGCAAGTTTGCTGATACCAAACTGCCATATACAGGAGGCCTTGCAGAAGGATCTAGATAAATTGAGGCTCCAAGCAATGATTAATGGGATGAAGTCTAATGAGTTCAAATGCTGCACACCTAGGATGAAGTAACACCAGGCTCAAGCCTAAACTGGGAGAGGAGTGGCTGGAGAGTAGCCCTACCAAGAGGGATCTGGGGGTGCTGGTCAGCAGCAGCTCAGTGTGGGTCAGTAGTGTGGGTCAGTTTTGCCCTCTGGAACCCAGAGGACAAAACCCCATTCTGGGGTGCATCAACACAGCACAGACAACCAACAGAGGTGACTGACCCACGGCATTCAGCCTTGGGGTGCCTCACCCTGAGTGGCAGTCTGCAATTCTGGGCCCCACACATCAAGAATGTCAAAGTCCTTGGTCGCATCCAGAGGAGGGAAACAAAGCTGATGACAGCACTGGAAGGCATGTCCTGTGAAGAGCAGCTAAGGACCCTGACTTGCCTCATTTTGTGGAAAGGAGGACGAGAGGCAACCTCATTGCTCTCTACAGCTTCCTGAGGAAGGGAAGAGAGAGGTGCTGATCTCTTCTACCTGGTATGCAGTAATAGGATGAGTTAGAAGGTCCAAAGCTGTACCAGGGAGGTTCAGACTTGAAATAATGAAGTAATTCTTTACTGAGAAGGTGGTCAAACAGTACAAGAGACTTCTTAAAGAGGTGGCTGACACCCTGAGCCTGTCAGTATTTAAAAGGCATTTGGACAATGTTTTTCACAACACACTTCAGCTTATGCTTCAGCATCAGCCCTTTTTCACAACACACTTCAGCTTATGCTTCAGCATCAGCCCTGAACTTGTCAGCCCTGACTGCTGTAGGTTCCTTTCAGCTCTAATAGTCTATCCCATTCCACCCTAAAAATCAATTAGAACACTGGAGAAAAAAACAAAAAAAAAAAAAA